GTCAGCCTTTCTAATCCTTTTTGTGAGTTGAATAAAGAGGCGATTTCCCACAGATGAATCCTATTTTCTAAATAAGAAGAGGTTACGATTGTAAAATAGGGCACTACCATGCGATTATCACTTTCAAAATAGAGTTCAAAATTAATTGAAAAGCAAACGAAATCGAAACGCCATTTTGCACTGATATGCGAAAACTGTAAAGCAATAGGTAATACCTGGTTATCGTCCTTTTGCAGCCGAAAATTGTGAACAGGTAAACAAAGCTTTTTCAGTATAAAAATGGATCTCGTATCGACGTTGAATCGTATAGCAGGATCACAAAATATTCGCCTAGATCAGGATAAGTTGGATAAAGATATTGACGATGTTCTGGACTTCGATCACGACCTAGCTTTGAAATATAGGTAAATCTAACAAAATTTTGCTGGATTCTTTAGTGCCTCCTTTTAACTCCTTGCAGTACTGACGATACAACTCGTCGACAATTTGAAAGAAGCTTTAATCCTATGACTCTAGCGGAACTACAGAGTAAATATCCAAAAATATCTTGGGAGCTATATATTTCAGAGGTATTTAATTAGTCCAAACGTGCATGGTTTCTAAACAAGCAAAACCTTTTAGGTTTTCCAACTTGTGCCGGATGTTAAGCAGAAAGTATTGAAGGCCAGCGATTACCACTATATTGTGACTGAACCAAAGATGCTGCAATTGCTCAGTGATAATGTCGAAGGTGAATCTTGTCAGCAGCCTCTACATTGTGATCGACAGTTTTTAAAATTGCAGTATCGCTAAGTGGCACGAGTTTGATCCTGAAGAGATTTTTCAATTGCTCCTATTGCTAAATTCAATCTTGCTATTTTTCAGCTGTTCCAACTCGCACACTGGTTAACTACATCTACGCTAAATTAGTAATGGCTTACAGCGATTTCCTGCCAGTGAGTTTCAAAAATCTGAAAATTTCATTTCTGCTTCTTCAAACTTTCTAAAGTCCAATAGCCTAAT